ACCTCTTGGATTAGCGTTGGATTGAGGTCCTAGTTAGATTGCCTTTTTTTTTTTTTAATATAAGGGGATTCTCTCCTCTTTAGGGATTAGCAAACATCCACTATTCTGTCTCATTACTATTTCAAGAGACCACTTCATTTTTTCGTTTCAATCCTCCTGAACGTTATCTTTTTAAGATTAATTCTGGAAGGAGAGCATGGACGTTGGCCTCAATCAGACTCCAATGTGGTCAAATCAACATTTATAAAACCCTGCAAAAAAGCAATCTTGGTGTGTGTGTGTGTGTCCATTTTCATGTCATGTCAAATCCATCCACCCTGAATTGTGAAATCACACTACATATACTCACTCTATGAGCTGTTGATTGCATGATTGCTGGGCCTTTTTCATGCTTGCCCGAGCCTTACGGAAGAGTCTGTCCCTTGATGTAAAAACGGCCCCTTCTCTGTGAACCTTTAGGAAGGGACAACAATCTTCCAGCAGATTTTTTGATGGCAATTTGTAAGGGAGCTGCTCCTGCTCAGTTATATTACTGGTTGTGTTGACTTATTATGGTGTTATCTTAGAGCTTTTGTTACTGTGTGGGTTGTTGTATAGCTTTGTTGTTTGGCTTTTATGTTGTTTGATGCTTTCCTATGACTGGGGTGGCACTGAAATGGGTTAACATAAAACAAAACAAATCATGTCTGCACATGAACACACCACACCAAAGGAATCTCAGATGGGAGTCTACGTAAATGATGATGATGATGATGATGATGATGATGATTTTTTGGAGTGCTTTGCCAAGGATGTACAGCAGCTTGTATTCCCTCTCCTTCTTTCTCTGCCGCTTAGGGTTGCACATCCCAGACACCTGTACAAGGATTTACCACATTTTGTGGCACTAAGTTACATACATTAATTCTGTGGCCTGCCAAAGTATTTCTTTCTGTATGTTCTGCATCTTCTGGGATGAATCTGAATTCTACCATTACAAGGGGGGACGGGTTAATCCATTTTGCTCACACCACGCATTTATTTGATCAGCCTCTAGTGGATTGCAATTTTTCTTGGTTAAAATTCCAAATTGCAGAGGACCCCTTCTGGCCCCCGTGGCCTATTTATTCCTGAATGACTTCACTGCACCACTTCACTGCTTTCTTGCTGGACTGGGGATCTAGAATCTCGTTCTCTAATGTTTAATCTTCAGTTTAGCTCAAGGGGCACTGAAACTTCCATTCTGCGGAAACAGACTTTGGAATCTAGTGAACGCCGAGTCCTTGGCATTACCCACTACGGAATTCAGGTCACTGCAGAATGCTTGGCAAAAGGAAGTCTCAAGGCACAGGAGACGCTGTCCTATATAAAACCCAGCTCTGTGCTAATTGTTCGCTAGATACATTTCAGCTAGGTTAAAAACCTCCCCTGGAGTTTTCTAGAAGCATTCTCATTTGGCTTGATTCATACCAGATTAGCCACGGAATTTACAATGGGCAATGGGATTTGTAAACAAAGCTGGCTAACCCTCCAACCTTTTATGGGCAGTTATTTTGGGCAGGAGAACGTAGATCTTCCAAATAAATGAAGTAGTGTTGCCAGCTTGGCTCTGCTCCCTGCAAAGGCCTTCTTAGGGCCTCCCCCCTCCCCTCTGCTTTCAGAGTGATTTCAGATATTGAGGAATGCAACAACAAAAAAGCAGATTTTTCCCAACCTAGTTGGTCAGTTCACATCAGGAACTAAATCTGCCCTTGATCTGTCCTTCTCACATTCATTGCAGGGTTTCTCAAGCTGTATTCTGCAGAACCTCAACGTGAGAACATGATGGAGTTCCGTGGGAGACTATGGACAAAAAAAATCCCAAAATCTCTAGCACGAAGCTGATCTTCCATCATGAGAGCTCTGCCTCTTGATTATGGGTTCCAGGAATTTTTTTCTTTAAACTAACAGGTTCTATAACCTGGGGATAAAGGAAACCCCCTGCTGTATTGGTCAATTAAGGTTTCCTCAAGCTGCCTCCTTCATTTCGTCTCGCTTCCTTCATTTTTGACACTTGCTACAACTTTTATGCACTGCCCCGAGCATCAGGATGTCCTCTTTCAGTCCTCTGCCTTTCTCTTAGTTGTGTTTTGAAGTCTGAGCCCCACCAAACTTATCATTCAGACGGTTTTGAACTCTGGGAGTCCACTCCATACACAGTCCTGGAAGAATTAATTCCCCCGCCCTCAACCATTCATGGCGGATCCTCTGTGGAATTAACTTTCTATAGAAATGGGTACCACCACCATGAAGCATCTTTTCTTCACTATAACCCATCATATCCTAGACCAGTGTTTCTCAACCTTGGCCACTTTAAGAGGTGTGGACTTCAACTCCCAGAATTCTAATGTGACCGCACCTGTCAAGCAATGGCACTGATTGAGTAGCGGGGTCATTTCACTCTATGAATATTATAGATCCAAACTGTAGTCTAGTCCAGTGTTTCTCAACCTTGGCCACTTTAAGATGTGTGGACTTCGACTCCCACAATTCCCCAGCCAGCATAGGTCAAAGTCCACACATCTTAAAGTGGCCGAGGTTGAGAAACACTGGTCTAGGGACTCCAACAACCCAAAATGGGCTTGCAACTGGGGAAATACATGACCTTTCAATCTCGGTCCCAAACCAGGGACCACTTTTTTAAGATTAGCAATTGCCTTTTGAAAAACCAAGACTCTCATTCCTCACACATACACGCCAAGCACCTTCCCTGATCAGGTGCAAAGTGTTCTTTCTTCATCCGAAAGATTCGTATTTTTGCAATCAAGGGAGAAAGATCTCCAGGCCAATCAAGACCATTTGCAAACATCCCTCTGCTTTTTTTCTCGGAAATGACTGAGCCCTGCTGAGATGCAGCGGGGCAACCTATGGCTCTCCAGATGTTTATCGATTTATTCCATTTATATGGCTACCCTCTCACTGAGTGTGACTCTGGCTGGCTTATAATCCATTAAAAACAACCATAAACATAAAAAAAAATCACGATCCATTAAAAAAACTCATACCCCCTACAATCACGTCCCTGAAGATGGGTTCACCCAGCATCCTGGCCCGCTGATACTACTGAACTACAATACCCAGCAGCCCCATCCAGCAATGCTGGGCCAGAGTGGTTCTGCATATCCACTCTGGCTAGTTGTATGATTTTTGAGTTTGCGAGTGGCCTGGCTAGGGACAAAGGAATAAATTTGCCTGTTATTTGGCACAGGGTATGGAATATTAAGTAGGTGCTCAAAAGTCACTTCTCCTCCCCCTCCTGTGCTTTGGAGAACCACTTAAAAGGAAATAATAATTTTGTGCTCTTGCAGCAGAAACAAAGCACAGGAACAAGCTCATTATTCTAGCAATGTCTAATGCCAATTCTAAATGGCTATGTTAAACCTTCTGGAGCCTTAAGTGACTTTGCTAAATCCAGTTAAAACCCTTCCTTCCTTCCTTCCTTCCTTCCTTCCTTCCTTCCTTCCTTCCTTCCTTCCTTCCTTCCACCCTTCCTTCCCTCCCTCCCCCCTCCCTCTGCTTCTTTTACAGCCAAGCCTACCTAAAGAGGCCATGCTTTGTCCCTACCTTTCTGCTCTTTGATTTCTATTCTAACCCACTAATTTTGAAGGCCAATCTCGCCCAGGTAGCAATCAGAACAAAATTGTGTTATTGCCCAGCGTGCTTCCTCCTGCCTTCTCTGTGTTTCCTGGTATCAGAGCTGCGTATTGAAAATGGACCTTGATTGGCATGCTACAAACTTTAAAACCTCACTGGTGTAATTCACCTCTAATGCCAGTCAGGAACGTACGAAGCCAGCTACTGTTCCTCTTCGTCGCAAGAAGGGTCACAAATTCGATTAATGCATTGAAACCTGTGTTACAGTTTCTCTGAAGTTTCTTCTGCTTCTCCGAGTTCTTTAAGGTACCTTCAAATTTCCCTTGGTAGGGTTTTTGAGCTGCAATTATTGCTAGATGTGGAGGAGATAATACAACTCAAGGTGTCTTCTGTTCCACATCTTTCCATCACTCTGAAGACTCCTGGCTACTTGTACTTCTCCTTTGAAAAAAATGGCCCCAGGAAGAGTTCCTTCAGAGGTCTTCCCTTGGCTTTTATCAGAAGTATGAGAAGCCATGGAGATCTTACCCCATTGGGGAGACCACTGTAAGAGGAAAACCAAATGTTTAACCTCTTGGCCACCACGTTGCTAAGAAGGTACAGGGGGATGAGCTCAAACCCTGAGTCATGGTGACAGGAGCAAGTGGGTAAGATGTTCTGCACTGTAAGGAGGTATTTTTTCAATTATCTTTTCATCTGTTCTGCTAATCAAAGACACCAAGGATTCCAGCTCTTAACTCATATGGGGGCAGGGGGATGTTAAGCCAGGCTTAATAATGCAAAGGTTGAGTTCACCTGTTGCCCTAAATCAAAAGCAAACAAACCATCTTATGGCTTAGCATCATGTGTGAACCCAAACCCAATGAACACCTAATGAACTTTTCATTAAGTAGAAGCTGAAGCCTGGATCTCTTCAATCCTACTCTTAATCTGTCAGGGACAGGAAATCGGTGACAACCCCGAATGTTGCTGAACTACAACTCCCGATGATTCCAACCAAAGGTAGACTTCATAGTTTGGAAACTTCTGAAAACCCAAACATCTCCCACCTCTCACCCTGGACTGGAGTGTTAGTCTAGATCAAGGAGACCATTGGAATGGAATATCAGTCTTATTTTCCTTCTGGAGCCATGTAGCTTCTCTGGTTGGGATGAAGGTGGGTCAAAGGTCTGAAGCCCACTCTCAAATGGTGTGGTCAGATCCAGATTGCTTCCCCCAATGGCTGCATTTCAAGACAGACATGCCCGCAAGTGATCAATACACGCATACTGCTATCTTTCATTTCGCCATTTTGGGGGATGTGAACTCGTGGTTGTCCAATGGAGGTTATTTTGAGAAGCTGCACAAGACAGACAGACAGACAGACAGACAAGAGATTCCTGACTTACTTCATTGGCTTAAACAAGGCCTGTCCATAATTCTGGAACGTCATGATGAGTTTGAGCTGGGTCCCTCCTGATTTCATGGCTGGTGAAGGAAAGAAGAGGAAAATTTCAGAAAAAACGATTAAGCCACCCCATACGGTTTGACTGACACCTAAGCAATGTTAACTTAGAAATGACCCAGTGGGGAAAAATGCTATTTATAGGATTAAAAACACAGCAGAGCTGTTTAAAAGAATGTATGTATGTATGTATGTATGTATATATGGCATTGAATTAAGCATGATCACGTGGACTTTTCTTTCAGTCTTGTGGGGAAAGAGGATGGAAGGAGAAAGAGGGAAGCGGAGGTGTCCATGGGGAGGGGGTCAAAAAAGTCAAGATGGCATTTATGACCACACAATCCAAGCCCTGCCCCCTTTTTCATGCGATACACACAAAAAAGGGGTGGAGCGTCAATCACATGGGCATGGGAACCTGACTTTTTTGACCCCCTCCCCATGGAAGGGGAAGAAGGAGTAAAATCTGAAATGACCACCTGATTTTGCACCACAGTTTACTTTAGAATTCACCCCCTTCGCCCTTGCACATTTCCCCTCACCCTCAACTGGAGCTATTAGCTATACATTCCTTTAATTACGCCTTCTGGTGTAATTGTAATCTTTCTTTCCCTTTTTTCCCCCCGTGCAATAAAATGTTATGCAAATTTGGTCCATTTAATTACTCTTCTGCTCCAGGAAAAAAGAAAAAAGAAAAAAAGAAAAGAAAGTGCTTCCAGCTTTGGTGTTTTGCTGATCCCAGCTTTTTCTCACATTACTGACTCATCCCACGGAAACAAATAAATAATTAGAAATTAAAGGGCATCCAGCAATTGGCACTGAAAAGGCAGGGGAAGAGCATGTGGATTTCCCACATTAGATGAAGCTGTTCTGCTGAGTAGACTAATTTTTTGGAGAGCGTTTAAGGGTAGACAAGAGCACAGTAGCTCTTTTTCCAAAAGCAAAAAAAAGCTCGAGTTTGCTAGGTTTCACTCTTAGCTATCTGGCAAATTCACAATTGCCGGGAGCGCTGGCTAAGCCAGGCTGTGTGCCCAAGACACACACAAAACTAGATTAAACATTAAAAAAACACGATAGAGCACACTTGGTCAGGTGGAGTTGCTAGAACATGTCTCTAGCATTCCCTGGAAATATGTATAATAGGTGGCCTCATTTTCAACCTGAGTTGACTGATCAGGCAGCAAAACTGGGGGGAGGCGGGGGAGAGATAATGTGGTCCACCTCAGTGACAGCCCCAGACATCTGCCAAAGCTTTCTGAGAACCCAACACAGACTGCCAACATCCATGTTGCCTGAATTAACCAAGGGGCAACTGAAGTCAGTTAGGAAGCGACCTGTAGAGGACTGAAGGAATGGCCTTGAGGAACAGGTGGAAGAATCACTACCTAGAAAATGGACAGATAAAAGAGGCCAAGAAAGTAACATGAGAAGTTGTCTTAGACAAGACCCTCCTTAGTTCTCATGAAGATAAACGGGGGGGGGGGGGGGCACATTCAGGCTTGCAAGCTTCTATTACTATAACTTTACAAGAAAAGTCATACTGACCTACATGACATTGGATTCCTAGCCCAATCTCCCTTCAAGGGCTGACATGACTGCATGGATGTTTCCCCAAAGACTCAGGAATGCTGCTACACGGGGACATTCTGGGAAGATCTGCACTACCGCAACCGAGCTGTTATTGTACAGAAACTCTTAGGAACATACCAGTGAAGATGCTTTCATGCCGGAAGCCAACCAGCATCATATATTTTGATTTATTTTTATTTGCTATGTTAAGCACTTTGAGGTCATCCATCAAACGGAGCCTCCCAGAGTTGTACCCATTATCATTCACCCAGCAACCTATCATCTGCCTTTCTCCAGGAAATTAATGGATTGCTTTCACTACCATCTACCAAGCAGCTTAGTATCCGCTGGGGATACTTAAAAAAGAAATAGAAAAAGCCAAATGAGAAGAGAATCTGAATTGAAAGCCAACGAAATCACTAAGCTCGAAAGCCAAAAATAGACAGGCAAGAGTCCTAAAAACACAGCCCAAAACACAAATTACAGGCGTACGTTAACGTCAGAGTCTCCTTAAGGTACCCACGCACACCCTAATAAAAGTAGGAATGCTTATGTCACCTGATATGAAAAGTGGAAACTTCTCTGGGTCAAGGAGGAGGAAAATAGCCAAGGTAAACCTGTTGACAATTTTCCTTTAATGATTTCATTCCTTGCAATGTCTCTTTTGATATTTGTAGCGGGACTGTCAATCTTTATTATCAAAATCAATATTTTTCTACTAGAAATATGAGCAACCCCTGGTCCATGGGTGCATAGAGCCTGCCCATCCCTTTTGTGTGGCCTCTGGAGCTTCCCACCATCAGCCATGGTAGAGAAAAGTGCCGAGCTTTAGAAGTGCTTCCTCCATTAGAAAATCAGTCATGGTGGAGAAAAGGTCCTGAAATGTAGGAGTTGAGTACAGTCTAGGACAATGCGTCAGTTCAAATACCAAAAGGGGGCAGCTCAGTGGGCAAAGTTGGAAACTTCTATGAAGACCACCACAGAACCTGTAACCTAGAATCACAGAATTGTACACTTGGAAGGGACTACAAAGATCATCTCATCTAATCTAACCCTCTGCAATGTGCAGGAGAACCACTTCAACCATTCATGAAAGGTCCTGTCTTTTAAAAAAGAACCTTCTGAGATGGAGAACCTCCCATCTCCAGAGGTAGCCTGTTCCACAGTTCAGAGATGGGACTTTTCAAATTGAGCCCTATCTCAGCAACCCAGCTGATTTGGAAACTGAGGTGAAGGTAGACATTTGAGAACTGAGGGGGCAGATGACTCAAAGGAAAAAAAATCCATGGGAAGAATGCAAGGGCAGGGTAGGAGAATATAATTAAAGCTTGACTCATAACCAGTGAGAATTATGGGAAACACTCTAGAGTGCAAGGCTGAAAATCTTCCAAAACTGCTTTTACCTGAAAGCAATAAAGGTAAAAGTAAGCTGAAATGCAAACTCCTTTTTAATCAGCTGTGACTTCTTCTCCTGCTGACTTTGATGGGGTCAAGGTGATTGCCTGACACCTGGTTTTCTTTTTCGTTTTGTTTTGGTTAATCTTTATATGAGATTGACTAATTTAATCTTTGCTTCCCATTCATCTGGGACAGGGGGTGCTGAAATGCCTAAAGATTAAATGTATCATTTGCATCTGTAGGGGCTTTCACCATTGTGTAAACAGTGTGTACTGGATAATCTTTAGCGGAGTTAAGCATACGTACTGGGGAACTCTAAAGGTTTTTGAGAATTCTCTTGGGTGTCTGTGTGTAGATAGAGAGAGAGAGAGAGAAGGGGGGAATACTCATATGTTTCCAGATAAGGGGGTCAAGGGATACCCAGATTGGCATAAAGTTCACAGGGATTCATTCAAATGAACAGATATAGCTGTATAATTCTATTCAACATCTCAAAAGTAGCAGGGTAGGCCATGACCAGGTGAGCTTTATATCCCAAAGTTTATTGGCAATTTCAAGACCTCTGCACCCGCTTCCTAATCTTTAAAGAAAACTGAAGAAAAAGGCAGTGCAAATATTCAGTTCAAACGTTCAGTCCCATCAAATCACCCCCTTGATTCGAAACTCCAAATCAAGTTGTCAAACTGATTCAGTCCATCAATTCAAAACACATCCCATCTGAATTCCTCGGCACAGATTTGGACCAAGTTTGGTGAGTTGATCGATATTTGCACAGGAGCACATGTATTTTTCTGAATCAATTCAAAAGTCCAGATTGATTCAACAGGAAACTGGAAAACGGAATCAAACTGATTTTCTGTATCAGTCGGACTGCCTGAATCAAATCAACTTTCTAAACTGAATCACATATTTGAACTGGGTTTGGGTGATTCACATAAGCTTTCTGGCTAGTCCTTCAAACAGAGCACCAGTACAGAATCTTCTTCAGGCTCAAGACTACACTTGATCCGTGAATAACATATCAGATGTTGCTCTCCAAGAAGGAAATATGGCCAGGATAACAAAGTAGGTAAGGTCTGATTCAATTAGCTTCAATGGAATTAAAATTATGAACAGGATTATACTCAGTATATTTAACAATGCATTGTTCTATCAGATTAAAAAGTACAAATTAGTAGAAATTTTTGAAGGGTCAATAGGGACATCTCTACAGGCTTAGATGGACCAACCATACCAACTTTAAATTGGCATGTGAATTCTCTTTATTGCTGTGTGAAAAAATTCTTTCAGAGGACAATGTTCTCACAGCTTGCTGACTATAACATAGGAAATATGAACAACCTACAAGAGATACTGGGTGGGACTAGAAGGCATTTCTTATCACTCTTGACTGACCTTCCATATGAAGCCTTCCAAAAATTGCAGAGGCCACAATTATCTAATAGGGGGGAAAAACATAAATAATCATAATGTAATACATTGATGCAGGGCAACTGAAGCATCGCCAATTTGCAAGTTCACCCAAGGCCATGATGGGTAGTAATTCTGAAAGGCTCAGAAAAATTGCATTAGTTGCTCTTAAGAAAAATGAAAAGGGCCAACTTAGCAGTTCCTGAGATCTACTTAGAGCTTTAATTAAGAACTGCGTGCTGAATCTAATCTTGGTGAATTCAGAGTCAGATTAGCATGATCTGCACTTCCTGGACTAATTTCTAGACAGGAGATGAGTTATCTTATCTATGTTTTGAACTTCCTAAGTGTTTTGAGGCACTGGAGAGAACAAGGGGCTTGAAGATACACAGAAAGAGGAAGATTCTTGCACCATTATGAGGGGGTTAGAAGAAGACATTTCAGCAAGTGAAAATAAGTCCAAAACAGAAGGACTGTAGCTCACTGATAGAACATTTACTTTGCATAAAGAGGCTTCTAGATTCACTTCTGGGATTCTCTAGGTAAGTGTGAAAAGCCACCACCGGTCAGCCTAGTCAATACTGAGCTAGACAGCTTAATTGTTGGATTAAGTGTAACTTAGTTTTCTGGGTTCTGCTGAAATTTGCTG